GATATACCGGTGAACATTTTATTACACGTACCCGCCGCTATGTCGTTAAGCGCTGGCTATTGTCAGCCGCGAACAAGTTGATTGTAGTTGACACTCGCGCCGTTTTAAGTTACTAGTACGTCACAGTGGGTTACGTAACGCCCATGTAGGAGTCTAACAGACAAGATAAATAACCATACATTGTAATTCACAGTTAAAATATTTGATTACATGCCGTGGTCACAGTGTTATTAACCGCCATTCAACAGGTGGTCGTATTCTAACCAGGGTAACTTACATATGAAACTAACTGTACATCAATATCATGGGCTATTTTGATTAAACATCATTATGATTAAAACACAAATATTTTGATATTTTGCCTAGCAGTGTTGTTTTTCTGTAAACAATGTAATGGAGTGATACAATTATAGGTTTGACCTTGGCAACATTGTTGCTAAGTTTATCGTTTACCTTTTTAAAGTTTATTCACGCTTGGCGTCACGGTCAAATTCACACGCCAGATTTCATCTGGGTACATATTCACTTTTACACACTTGACATTTATTTATGTCACCATGACGACTGCTAAACACTATCCCAAATGTGACTTTATAGTTGCACTCTTGCCATAGTCAAACAGTCATCTTCCATACTTCGATATTTTCAACGAATGACCACCCTAGACACTTTTATCGTAACAGTTCAGACGGTCAGGGGTTCACTCAACCAAATGCCGCCATGCATACACACTAAACGAACATGACAATACTGTATTGTACAGTGGCAAACATTTTGTTCCGTAACACGTTTGTCTATCAGCAGATTCGGCGTTGTTCTGTTTCAGTGACAACTTGGCCTTTCAATCAGTGTGTTTATTGAACTTGAAAGATTTATCAACTGTAGTTGTTCGAATGCCCAACGTAGACGTACTTTGGAGTGAAATAAACAACGTCATTTATAAATCCCCCCATCAGCAAAGAAAGATTACATTCTGTTCTATGCAAATAACACGTGAATACTAGTATTGATTATGCGACAATGTCTAATTTACCGAACATCGTTTTTGTAGTACATTCAATAGAATTTTGACCCCCAATAGCTATGATTTTGTTTTCCCGCAACTTGTGTATTATTTTTGACGTATTTTAAATAATTAATGTAAATTTGAGGATGTCCCATCATTGTACAATTTGAGTAAATTACTAATAAATGCGTACGGTATATATACAGTAGGCACACACTCAATTGACCAGAACAGAAGAAACATTCTCCGCTTCAATGTTCAATGAGAGTGGAAATAGCGCCCTCAGTGTAACATCTTACTGAGCAGATGAAATAAGGCTAAGACAGTTCAACTGTATACAGCACGTTTTATGGATTAGAATGTAAGCATTTTCACTAATTCTGAGCTGAAAGATCTGACGGCGGTGGCCTATCAATTATACGTTCATTTCCCTCATTCTAATCACTTCTGAATTCACTAAAATTATAATATTAAGACTGTGGATTTAGCAGTTGGAGGGATGTGAAATGGACATGGGGTGAACAAAACCAGCCGCCTATGTACTAGTATTACATGTGGTAACCAAGATGACCCAAGAAGTTATTGACCAACCCTGAATAACAGTTAATGAAATTAACAATACATCATTGTCCTGGCAAGTATTTTTAATTGTGCAATCACCACACATAATTAAAGCATGTAACGACCCTCTATAAATTACTCCCATCACAATACACAGACTTGACTACAATCAGGAAAAACTGTAGGTTGTTTTATGTTCAGTGACTATACAGGGACGTCTCTGTCAATGCATGAAACTCCTCATGGCTGAAGGGGCTTGGGGGTCCTGGTCTCTGTCACCAAATTCAACTCATCACCAGTTATTTGCAACATGCCAACACATGTTTATTGGCATTAAAAAAGAAAAAAGGTCTACAGTATATGCCGGTGACCTGCTATAGTGGTGTACTATACTGGCTTGATACTTGATAATATTGTACTATTTCAGTGTAAATTATTTACGCTATTAATCTAAATTGTTAGAAGCCCACAAGAGACTAACTAGTAAACAAGTAAACCATTTACAGAACAAACTATTTTAAAAACTACTCATAACATATATACTTTTAAAAAATTAAATTTAAGAGCATATCATTTTTAAGACTTCATTAATTCACACACAATTCATTGAAATAGCGTAGCTACAACAGCAGAGGTCATCACCATAGATACCGAGTAGATGGCAATGTTATTGGTTGCTATATTACCCCTGCTCATTTTTATTGGCCGTGTTATTAACTTGGAGACAATCGACAGTGTTTTCTCTCTATGTTAAACCATTGTATAATAGCCCCAGCATTCAGTTACCTGTAACACTGAAGACATGCCATCCCGGAGTAAACCAAGATCTTCGACTAACTCCAGTAAGCAACTTACTTTTTTTTTATTTATTTTTTGTAATTAAGCGAGACCAACTTTAACTCTTTAGGTATATGAATGAAATAGAAAATTTAAGTTCAACGTTAGATACCTGAATAATTGTCATGTACATGTTAGATGTCAACGTTATTTCTATGACGACATAAAAACCTTAATTATAAACTTACAATACCATAATATTGACCTGTTTTGCATATTGCTTGAAGTTCTCGGGATATTTCACAGCGTAGTACGTAACTTCAGTATACAGCCTGGAATGAAGGCCATCTAACATTTTTCTCTATTATAATTTAAGAAATGCCACAACTAAATTTATTCTTACTGATTATATTCACGACAACTCAAAATGTCTGTTATTTTTGCATTGATGTTATTTTTGTACGACAAAAGAGACAAAATTGAAGTTTAATTGATAGTGGAGACGATAGTCAGAAGATGATTAAAAATAATATTAGAAAATGTTATTAATTGTAATATGACGCTGAATCTCAAGAGACCAGATAAAAATATCTTCTTCAGTGCTCAGTCAGACGGGATTACCTTGTATGACGCACAACAGCATATACTTTATTATAAATAAATACTATATTTTGTTTTGACCAGGATAGTCTCCCAGATCAGGAGATTTCAATGCCAGGTCATCCCCAGTTATATTATTAATTTATTTTCACGATTTGAATACTGTGAATACTACTCGTATATGCCAAGTCAAGATTACACTGTGCCTTAATTAGTGCCAAGCAAAAAAAACTATAATTTTAATTTAGCAAAATGTTTTTGTTTTTTTTTCACTGGTGCCATCTTGCATAGCACATTTTCACGTGTGGGGGAAAAAAGGCTGTAAAAGCAGAAGTTGCAAAATTCCTGGATTTTCATCATCAAAATTTGTGAGAAAATGAATGTATGTTGACCTAGCAGATGTTGGCTACTAAAAACTAATATTAATATTAAAAATAAGCAATACAGGATTATGTGACTTATTAAAAAGTGATTATCAGAAAGGTGCATCAAGTTCATATCTTGTACTGTAGAATGTAAATATGTATTCGCAGTTCAGTCCATTATACCATGCACTGCTATACTAACACCAAATTTGATAGTTTTGAACTTTTAGTGTAACATTTTCTATAATTTTGTAGCAAATGGATCAAATCAAAATGTTTGAAAAAAAATGTATAGGTTTATTTCATAACAAGATGACAAAAACAATGACTTTGCTGTTCACTGGGTGAAAACATTGAATATTCAAAAGTGAGCGATTCAGAAAACCTTATTCATTCTGAACTATTTATCACTATAGATTTTTAACTAAACACCTCTCCTGCAATCCACTGCTACATGATTTCAACTGTATCTAAGCAAACAAATAAGTAACCTGATATACAATAGGTGCAACTACTAGACGGGCTCTAAGCTGGCGATAACATTTGTTTCTGTAAACTCAACCGTATCAAATTATAAAACACCGCAGTCATACAGATGTTCATTGGGTCAGTCGTTTAACACACACTGTATTGATTTTATAAATTATAAGCTATGTTGAATTGTGTTCAGGTGTGGGAGGCTTGGATGACTGCCAGCGACTAACAACTACACAATCATGATAATATCCGCTGGATGAATGACTAGCTAGGTAACAATAGGAGTGCAGTCTTAGTTGGTTTATGTAATACAATATAGCTGTCGTGAACATTTTACTGCCCCGCATATCTTCCGTTGCTATTCAGAAAATAGTTCTGTAAATTATCTTTTGGTTTGTATTCGAAAAAATAATCATTGTCAATGACATGGTCCCTGTTTGTATTTAGCTGAATTAATGTTTGACACAAAATTATGTGTTGTCTGTATACTTACTTTGGATAAAATCTGTTAATGCATGGATGAGGACACACACATGAAAATAAAACCATTTGGCTATTTTGAATCAAATCATGAAACAAACTAGTGTGCATCATGTGTGAAGTTCATACAAAGTTTGAATGAAATCTCCATAGGTGTGCGTGTGAGATAGTTTTTCTGTAAAATGGGTAGAACACCAGTCAGCCATTTTGAATCAAATTGCAAAACAAAATTTCATTTTTCACTATCCTACCATGAGTGATGTAAAAAAAAAGTTTGAAAGAATTCAGCCCAAACATGTCTAAAAAACTATTGATGACAGGGACTAATTATGTCATTTTCAAAGTAAACCATTAAAACTTAAGAAAATATAAGAAAATTTTAACAAAATCTGCCAGTGATTAAAAATAGCTTTTCTCACGTGTGTGCACTAACAGAAATGAAGAACCTATAGCACATAGAGCAGTACATAAAACAATGAATTCAGTAATTCAGTGAATGCATTTTTGAAGAAGCACACATAAATTTGATTTTATGACAATTCAAATACGACTTATTTTGTTCATAGACACAACTCATTTACATATTTGTTACGTCAGAATTGAATGTTTTTGCGAATAATTACACAATAACACATGCAATGCGTTTATAGACCATTCATAAAGACCTCGGAAAGTCAGAAATGTAAGTGAACATATCAACGTAATTTACACAACCAGATTCATTACTAATGGAATAATGTATTATTTGTAAAAGAAATATTTAATTCTTTACATAAAATACACAAAGTGCCTTAGGACAACAGATAAATGTATAAAATCTCAAGTTAATATTCAGCTCAGCTCTTCAAATATTTTTCCTGTTTATAATAGACCATCTTGATGACTGGCATGATATCCTTATATTTGGTACCTGTAAATTAAGAAAATAATGATTTTATGAAATTCATGACAACCACAGGAAATAATTAATAACTGAAAACAAACTATGCATTATGAATAATAATATTCAGTGTCTAGTAATATATTTTTGTTCAGGACTTCAGATGGTTGAATATTAATGTTCATATATGTAAATGAACTGATGTACTTAACTGCTTTTAATATTAATAGTCTTATATACTGGATTTTATTGTGAGGTACAGGCAAGGTGTAAATCTGAGAATATCTTTGAAATAATTTTCAAACAGAAAAAATAATCTAAATTTGCATTGTTGATAGAATTACATGACTTTGTGCAAAGGATGTTTACCATATGTTAATAATAAAAACAAGAAAACAATTTAATGAAAATAGAAAAATACATAACTGTTTTAAAATCTTAAAACTCAAAATAAGGTTATCATATAAATAGTAAAGTGAATCATGTTTATTTACAGTAAATTTGTAAAAAAAAATAGGGCTAACATGCTTATTATGTTTTTCTATTAAATTTTGATATTTTTTCTCTCTATATATCTTCTCTTATTTCACTCACACCTGTATAATTATTATTTTTATTAAAATATGTTTTTTATTTCTCTATGCCAATTTGTGCCTATACGTTATGTGAAATCTTGAACACTCATACTAGATACTGGGAATGTATATGGAAATAATTTGAAACAAACGTACTGTTTAACTCTTTGAAAGTCTAAGTCAAATTTTTTTATCATTCCGCAAATAAACCTGCATATTTTTGATATTTTTTCAAAAGTGCTGATCAACACTCTCAGCCAATGGGATCATTCAATTAATGTTTTTTTTCCACCAACGTGAGTTACCGGTACTGTTCAGGGAAAAATATTCACTCTGTGTTAAATTTTTTCTAATTCGTGAAGAAAATAGATTCTTTTCTTAACTTTGAATATTCACTAGGTTTTAATTTAAGCACAGATAGCTATCAGCAAAAATAAAAGCAAAAATTAAGCCTCAGACAGTAATTTCCATTTAAGTAAAGGATATTTTAGTTTCAGAAATGAAATTCAATAGCAATTATCAGTTATGCGGATATGTGATTTCGCTCAACAAATCAACCACAAATATGAAGCGGAATGTTATTAGAAGTATTTCTTTAGAAGTCAATGAATAATAAACGAGTAGCTTTAGCGTTGACAGCTAACACCTGCCTGCTTGTCTGACATTCTTATCCGAACACAGTTTTTATTAGTTAGCTTACATTAACTACAGTAGTTTAGCTTTGTTAATTTATGGACCAGTGCAGACTTATTGTCGTGAAAGAAAGGTGGTGGCATTTTCACCTGTCGTCTCACAACAATACCCACCCCTGGAGCAGAATAAATTATGCCCATAGCAACCCTTTGATATCTTAGGCAGATCAGACAGAGCAACAAGCGGACTGGGCAGTTTACAAGTAATAACTATCTTAGCAACGATTCAAACCTTGAACGATACCACGAGCTGTTCGAGGAATTCATAGACAAGTATTGCATAACAGAATGGACAACATTTAGAAACTATCTTCAACAGGATTAACTTGCTGTCTAGACCACAGGACATTTATACAGGCAGTGAGCTCAACAACTGTGTTGATTGTACCCCAGTCGTCTTATCTTTGACATCAGCATTATTAGCTCGTACACTGACTTGATTTAATTGCGTCAAATGTAGAAACTTGAAGTCAACAACAATGACACGCAAAGAAGGGAAAGAAAACCAAGAAACGGCCGTAAAGCTGCCTCCTATAAATGGACAGGATTCAACTGACAATGATGGTTATTATTTCTATACATACACGTCTTTTACTGTGTCTGTGACTTCACTGAGCTGAATTTAAAATCTGTGATCTTATTTTAATGAATTTTTTTCCTTTCTTTTTCAGTTGAAAGACGACCGTACAACGGACGCTACATCCGAGGAATGTAAGTTACATAATTTTAAATACGTGTTATATAAAGTAATATATATTATAAGTAAATAGAAATGAACCTTTGGACAACTACTTATGAAGATTGATTAGCTAACTTCAAAACAAAAACAGTATACACTGTTAACTGATAAGGGTAAAGGACACATGCTGATTTTCATGAAACCACATTGAAAGAAAAAGATTACGGGATTCCTGGGGATATCATTGTCTGTATACTCATCTGATTTGTATGTTTTTTTCCATTGAAACATCAATCAAGGACATAGCATGCACAACAGTCATCTTGCACACTATGTGCTTGATAATATATCTACTACCTCTAGCACCTCAACCCCCCCCCCCCCAAATGTCATCACTTTGAGACGCATTGTCAACAATTTTACACAGGTCTAAATTAAAATGCATTTAAAAAACATAAAATAAAAATGTGCTGTATGGTATGTATGTTGATACTGTTTATATATCTATTATATAATACAAAAATAAATTAACACCTAAATTTTATCATTTCTGGGTAAATTTATTTCACAATATGGAGATGGGGGATTGGAAGGGGTGTAAGTAAATATATTTCAGTTTATATCAGTGACATGTGTAGATTTGATAAATAGCTGCTTTAGAACATAGACCTTAGAATGAGATCATTCTAAGGTCTATGTTTAGAACAAAGATCATCCACGCCTAAAAATATAGTTTACATAACTACATGTTGCCCACCCTGTATTAAAAGGTCGTGTTGCAGACTACATGCACTGGTAATAGGTTTCAGTGTTACATGGTATTTTAGGTTAATTTTTTTTTTCAATGACAAACAGTCTCATTTGTAACTGATCATCTCATAATTCACACAGTAACTCAATTATTACACTAATATTTGGCAGGGAAATACTACAAAATTCGGAATAAGTTGTATTCGTTTGGTGCATTTCTTTTCTGCATGTGTTGACTTATATACGCAACAATCAATCGAATGAGTTTTAAAAAAGTCACTGATGTACATCAAACAGAATATTTTTTGTATAAACTTGTGATGGTCGATTGAGATATTGAAATTTATAATCAAAATTCAGAAGTGGAGCTAAAATTGAAATAACCATTGCGATGTTGGGCATGTTCAGAGAGATACGCAAGAATTGTGACGGACCCAAATGTTGGGAACAAAGTACACTAAATTCAGACAGTTTGAAGAGTGTTGTTATTAGTGATCTTAGTATAGCATAACATGTATATCCACAGACTCCATAGCAATCATTGCTGTAATCGACGGGTACTTAGAAACATACCAAGGGCCATTAATGTACAATTGATGACCCAATAATTGATACCAGAGGTCATTTTACACTTCGGTGTCACGCAAAGGGATTATATTTACCCCCAAAGAGGGGTCTATATTATTCCTATTCAGACATAAAGATTGCTTTATCTTTGTTGGTTAAAGACAACATTGAATAGAATTTGAGATGAAAACATCATAACTTGTACATGTATTATGCAAATTAGTACCAATGATATTAATAAACACCAAAATGTATACAAATTAATTGCATTGAATTAAAGTATATCAGTCATTCAATTGTATTTGACATGAGTTGTATATGTCACACAAGACCCGACTGTAATAGGATGAGAAGTGGTGACTGGAAATTTAATTACCAAAATATACATGATGTGTTTTTGTTGATATATGTTTAGTTTCATTTACAGCATTATAAAAATGTATTTTCTGTGGATAAACCCTTTTTTGAAACACACGCAGACAGGCAGGCAGGCAGACAGATAGACAGACGAAACTCAAAATACAAGTTCCCATTTCAGACTCCATCCGACAAGGACTAAAATTATTAAAATGCATGTAGTTATCTCTAGCGAGAGTTTATCCTAATCAATCAAATTTAAAGCATCATACATGTAGTTGCTGCTCAATATTCAATCGTATGTTATGTGAATACAAATTTATTTTACATTCATTGTATACATCTATGGGAATTGTATCAAAGGCCACATGGTTTGATGACTGAAGTGCTTTTATTTAGAGAAGTCTGAAAAATATTCATTAATTGACTTTTGGTAACATGATTTAAAAATTCATCACGACCAAAATGACTACAATGAAAAGTGTGAATTCCATTTGGTATGGTGTACAGTTTGTATCTAAGAAATGTTATTGTTTTGGCATCACTCGGTATATGCAGTGTTTACAGCAATGGTAATCATGGAATTACATCTGTGTATGCTGACTCTGCAGTGGAATTCGGGAAATAAAAAGATACTGTTATTATTTAAGCCAATCACAACTAGTATGACAACTGAACCAGCTACGATAATGCCAGATAATGTTTCTTTCAGTGTGTACATAATAGTAACCATAGCTTAGACACAGTAATTTAAACCTAACACACACAACACGCAGTATAGCACAAAGCAATGCTGAGATTAAGTGAACATTTGGTCAACGTCTTTATTTTGCATCTTCTCTCATTTATACAATCACAGTAGTTTAAATTACTTGTCATAATTGTGCCCGACTCGGTTCACTTACAACAATGTATAAATTCAGCACGGGTCATTATTGCATGCGACAATGCCGAAATGATTAAAAGTCACTATAAGTATGCGTTTTACATGTGTTAGGTGAATAGGTTTGAATAATACTAGGTGAGGTGTGTTAATCTAGTTATTGATGGGATTTAGCGGTATCCTTAGTTTCTGTTTTAGAAATCTGGGATTAGTTTTACATGGATCCAGATTCCACAGCTTTGGCTAGTCGTTGTCTAGGTTCTCATAGTTTGATAACTAGTGACAAACAATCATACATGGGAAATTTAATTCACTGATGCGTTTCATGCTTAATTTTATGTTCTGTTTCAAATCATTTTTAAAAATAGTTTTTCATTAAATTCAAATTAAACATCATTGTTAATTGCCTAGATTACACTGCATGGCAACAGGCCATTGTCTCGACTTGGTGGAGTGGCAGATCGTCTGTAGAATCAGGCATAGCACATGTAGGCAGTTCAGCAAAGTTGAAAAATTTAATAACAATC